GCAATTGAAAAATCCACATTCATTCTTGGAAGCCAAGCTTTATATTTGATCCTATAATAGATAGCTATTATTCTGATATTTAGCAGGTTAGCTTTTTTAAATAAAATGAATCAAACTAGTGTCACAGTAACTTTCAACACATGCTGTTTCCCCCAATATGAAATACATAATTGTAATTATCTAAATAAATCAGCAAATAAGAAAATCTTCCACAACAGAGATGATATGGGTTCAGGTATAACAACTATGTGTTACGTAGGTAATTCTATGTGTTATGTAGCATAACATTTGCAAGCAGAAATTGTAGCAGAAAAAGATTTTATTATAATGCTATCAATCTTCAGTTGGAATCAGGACATACATATATAGATATGTGGGGATGTTTATTTATTTATTTATTTACTTATTTACATAAATATATTTATATCTGTTTTATATATTTATTTATTATACATATATTTATCATATACATTTATATGTATAAATCCCATATATGATTTTTTTGAGGTAAGTGGGGATGTCTAAGCATCCAAATTTGCTTCATAAGAAGAGAAAATCTCTATCATATAGAGAGATGTGTTCATATTGTAGAATACAAATAAGGAGTTTTTCCTTTTTTATTCTTCAAGGTTCCCAAACAAATCACAGCTTACTTCTGTCTTGTAATAGGGCCTGTTCCAAAGACCTTTGACGCTTCCTATTGACTCAACAGGCTTTGGATCTGGCCCTAAAGTAGTAAAACCTTTGTGGAATGTTTATAGATAACCACTTAGTCCATGCCAGCTTAAGGAAAGCAAAAGGAAATAATTTAAATGCATCTTCCAGTGACATAAGTCTCATGAAGAATTAACTAGGATAAGCACTTACTCTAGCTGGTGCACTGTCGATTTGAACAATGCAGATAAAAATAATAATTAAAACATAGCTTCATGCTGAGATGAAACTTTCAAGAGTGTCTACTGTGTTAAGCTTATGATTTTTTCTGGTTTTGTATTTGCAAGCATAATTATGTCCCAGAGGCAACAGGAGCTAGAGCTTGTCAGTCCCCATTTCCCCCTCCGATAGGAGATTAATTTCTTTACACAGAAATCCAAAAATTGATGCCAGAGCAATAATAATAATAATGTAAACAAGTCTTTTATTTTTTTAATCTGGAATGCATAATTTAATGGCATAGTTGTATAAATAATGAAAACATCACATCTACTTTAGACAACTAAGGGTAAACTAAAGGTAGCATTTAATGTAGTATTGATTGACCACATCAACCAAACAACGGCAGACATCTGTATGGATGACAGCATTTAGGAAAATGCTACCAAGTCTATCAATACAGATTAAGTAGGGGTGGGATGGAGCAGACTTGATGGCTCAGAGTCCTGGTAATGGAATACGAAGCCTTTCACCTCCAGCACGCTGACTTGACCAGCCTAGGTCAGTCTGTCACTGAAAGTCATTACCATCAGATGGTCCAGTGAAATGGGTTTGTCCTAATGGCAGCCTGCCTGTGTCACAAAGTGCACCATCTATCATGACTGACATCATGTTAAGATTTTCAGCTGGAAGGCTGGAAGGAGAGAGGATGGGCTCCACAACCTCCTATCCTTGCAGGAAGCATGGGTAAGGACAGTTGTCTGGGGCTGTGCTGCAGGGATTTTAGGAATGCCTGATTTTAGGGATAGCGGTGTCAAGCATGATAGGAGTAGGCACAGCACACCAGCAGCATGAAGTTACAGTAGCTCTCTTTTGGATAGATTTGAGAGAAACAGTGACACATGAGGAAAGCAAAACAGGGGTATTAAAAAAAACCCAAACAAACAAAGAAAAAAGTAGCAGAATTCAGAATTCTTTATTAGGCAGAGGTGAGAAATGACATACAAAAGCTAAGTGAAAACAAGATAAGATAGGAAGAAAGGATTTGAAAATGAAGGCATAGAGTGTACAGAGCCAGCACAGGGAGACATTGGAGAGATGCAAAGTAAGGAATTACATGGATAATGGGATGAGCTAAGGTGATTATTTCTTTCAGTAGCAGCTCTGGTTGGATATGAGATGAAGACTGTATCTGCCAAAGACACCAGAAATGACATTGTTAGGAAGTGACAGGAGCAGGAAGAGAGTTTTAGCTTTGTGGTTAGATGGGGAATACTGTACCTTGTAGAAGTTCTGAAGTAAGGTATTACCTGAAAGTTTCAATGTTAGACTGAATAGCAGCCCAAATCAAATAGCTGTTTTATTGGCAATACTGGCTACACTTCAATATAAGTGATGGGGAAAAACTCTTACTTGGTGATAGCAAAATTAATAGAACAAAAATAATTAAGAACATTGCTTCCCACCTTTGAACTTAACCTGGTGTTTAGACATACAATAGGAAACATCAGGTTAGACAGTAGACAAGTTGTTGCACTTCAGGGAGATAGTTTCCTGTATGTTAATTTAATCTGTGTTGACAACTTGGAACAAAGATGTTGAGCTTCATTTCCCAACCTTTTACCTAAACTAACTAAACTCTAAAAGCTCAGGAATGGCTTCTTGGAGCTTTGCAAAAGATAAATAAAAAAGGAAACCTGTTTTCAATAGGCTCAACTATGCTTCTGTTAAGAAAAGTTTCACAAATTAGAAACTTAAAAATCACTGCATATGATGAGGACAAAAGGGACAGATTCTTGTCAAATTGTCAGAAGAAGCCGAATATCTTATGAAAGAATGAAAACAGGAGGTAAACCAGGAGAAGGCAGTAACTGAAAACAACGGCTGATATATTTCCTTTAAAAAATTGTGAGATAAAACTATGTAATTTAAAAATACATTTGGAGTTTTACACTAATCTGATCCAGGGGTATGGCAGCAAACTGATGGGTGTGGCAAGGTCATCAAAAAATCTTCTCTGATTCACATACATTGCAGTTGCAGTCACATAATAGTAATGGTATTTCTATTACTACCTGTGAGAAACAGATTAAAAATATCCTAGGACACATATACTCCACCCAGGCTGCTTCTAATCCCACAAAACACAGCAAGCTTGTCAGAAGCACTTCATTGTCTAAAAGTCACCGCCCTTCTGACCGTTCCATTTTGACTGGTGTGAATCAGAATTTTTTTCTTGCAGAAAAATATCGCAGTGGGAAACAAACAATTTTCCCACAAAATGAGGATTAAGAATAAAGACATGAAAAAGTGAAACTAAAATGATGAAAACATCTCAGTGCTTATAGAGCTCTTTTTCATGAAGTCATAATTCCTTATGGCTTTTTTACAGATTAAGTATTGAGGCTGCTGGGCATACACAGTTTATTACTTAGAAGAACAATTGAGTAGTGAAATGAATATTGTGATTAGGTCAAATTAGGTGAAACTGAACTAGAACCAGATGTATTTTGCAACTAAGACTTGCATGGACAAAGTCCTCAGCAGTGGTTCAGATAATACAAAATAATGTAGTCAAGAACACTAATCCTGATATTTCTTCATGGAATTTTTCTGGTTGTGATTCTACAGTCAAAAATCCCATGTAATGCCTGTTTAAATATGATTGCTATTTTTTTCATAATACCATATGCAAAAATCCATGAGCATAATCATGACTTGGGTTTAAGTGAATCATATTAGAACAATCATGGAATCAAAATGAAATATTAAAATATTTCACACATATAGAGTTTCTGCCCTACCATTAGGAGTATGGTTGAAATAAAATTATTGTTGAAAAATCTGAACACTGAAAAATCAGAAGGCGTCCACGGTGGTTGTGGCAACTCCAGTCCCAGAGAGGCACAAGATTTCTTGGAAGAATACGTAATGTTGTGTCCAGTGAATTGCCACATTCGAAGCAGTTAAACCTCTTCAGTGTGAGATTTCTTGACAAAAGAAAAGGCTATAAAAAAGGTATTTTGTCTCATGACTCAAAATCAGGACAGGCTATTCTTCTATGGAAGCCGCATCATTTAAAACATCTATTAATCTTGCTATAGAAATGGTTGGAGAACACTGTGGTTTGGTTGCAGGACACAAAACCTGAGTAATAACTTCTCTGCAAGCTCATTTTCCACTGTATATGCATATCATCTAGAAAGATGGGAAAGGTCACTTCTGTACGGCTTTCACTTCCAAAGTTGCAGAGGTAAACAAATTCGAGTATTTCTTTTTCTGTGTATCTTTCCTTACAAGGGAGTGCTACACTTGGTCATCAAGTGCCATTTTGCAAGAACCAAGGCATGCACTTTCAACATTAATCAGTAAACTGTTGAGAGTCAAAGGCTTGCTTCTTGCGCAGAAATAAAAGAATTATCTGTTGCAGAAGACCCAGCACCATCTCAAGGTACCCGCAGAATTACCTGTTGGGAGTTCATAATTTTCCATGTGTTTTGTTTTTAGGACTTCTAATCTAAGTTCCCACTTGGCTTGTGATGATGGGATGCTGGAAATGATGATTTTTATGGTCCCTTCCAATCCAAACCATCCTGTGATTGTACAATGTGAAAGTGGCTAATTGCTTTTCGCTCTACAAGTCTGGAGGAACCCAGCACCGTCCCTGGGAAACCCTGCGACACACGGAGCGCCACAGGCGAGCGGGAGCCGCCGCAAAAGCCGCGGGGCCGGGGCACAGCGGGCGGGCCTGGGAGGCGGAGACGCTCGGGCAGGAGGTGGCGGAGCCCCGCTAGCACAGGAAGTCGCCCCGGCGAGGGAGGAGGGAGGAGGCGGAGCTGTGCCGCTCGGCCCGAGGTACCGCGCCGCGTCCCGGGGCGGGCGAGCGGCCGCGGCCGGCGGGTCCGAAAGGGGCTGCCCTGGCCCTGGCCCCGGCCCCGGCCCCTCCCGCGCCGCGGAGGCGCCGCCATTGGCCCGCGGGCAGGGAGCGCGAGCGCCGGCCGCGCGCGCGGCCGGCCCGCTGACCGCCGCGGGCCCGCCCTGCCATTGGCCGGCGGGAAGCGCGCGGCCCCGCGATTGGCCGGAGCGTGCTGTCAATCCGGGCGGCCCCGCCCCCTGAGCACCAGCTGGAGGGACTGGGGTGGGAGAGGGTCGGCCGTGCGACCGCCATATTGGGCGTGGGCGGGATGGCTGCCGTGCTGCGCTGTCCTGTGGTGGCCTTTGGTGTTCCGTTTCACCGTGCCGGGCCCCCGCCATTGCCAGGGCTGCTTTTCCGTGCTCGAAGAAGTACGACCCTGACCAGGCAGCCAAACTGAAGGGAAACAGACTCCTCACCGAGGTGTCCTCGGCGGGGCCATGATCGAAGCCTGGCCCGGGCACGCAGCGGGGCCGAGCTGGCCGAAGCCTGCAGTGCCTCCATGGGAGGATAGCTCACGGTTTTCCATCGTGAGCACGACTGCTCACAGGCTGCCGGTCTTTGTTGCGTGTGTGTGTGAAGCTCTGTCTTGTCTAAGGTTTTAGGGTGTCTGGAGCTGGACAATCCGCTGCTGTGTGTGTGCTGACCGCCCACATGCAGTGAGACCGGGCCGTGTAGTGCTGCTGGATGTGTCCGGCTGGCTGTGAGTGTGCAGTAAATCTGATCCAACCCGGAGTGTTGAGCTGGCTATGTTTGCCTTATAGGCGTGATGTGTTCCGGGTACATTGGACTTCTTTGTGTTCTCTGCAGAGGGCTCTGGTCATGGCTCAGGAAATCCTGGACAAAAATATGTGAGAATATGTGAGCTGCAAAAGCTTCTAAATGTGAAGTGTTGGCAGGGGATTCTCTGCCACACTGTTAATGTGGCTCTGAAGCTGCTCCACCTTCCATCAGCCCACACAGTTACAAGGACAGATCATAGTAGTATCAGAAACCCCCTCTGAAAGAGCCTATGGTGTAATTGGGCTGTATATGCAGCACACACCTTCACACTCAGTAATTCAATTGCATGTCATAGGTTTTGAGTTCCTTCCTGTGGGGCCCAGGCTTGTTCCTAAAGAGCTAATCAGAATGGAAGCGTACTTGCTATTAAAGATGTATTTCTGTAGTGGAAAACTGTATGAAATGATGTTTAAGAGGTAAACTAAATTCTACAAATGGGGGGAAGATTGAACCATTTCTTAAGTACTGCATTTTGGCACGTCACCCTTGGCTGAATCACTTCACTCTTTGGTACAAAACTGGCTGGAGACAAGCCATTGCTCAGAAAATAGCTTGTTTGCTCGCCTAAAGAAAAATGTGGCCAGTTTTTTTGTTGACATGATTGTCTTTCATCTTTCATTAATACAATTTATCCTCTAGGACTTATATGTCATTGTGAAAGTTGGAAAGATGTAAGTCTACTTCAGATATAATTTATGAGTAAGTCTTCTAGCTAAACCTGCTGGAGCAGGAATAGATGAGCACAAGTAGATGGAATTGGGAATTCCATCTTGGGAATTCTGTGAATTTATGTAGCCAAGAAGAGATTACCACAATGTCCTACAACTAATTTACTGTGCTTAAAGTAGTATTTTGTATTTGCAAAAACAATACAGAAAATACTTTCTCAATGCAAATGTGGGATCTCTTCAGATATCTAGGTTTTGAAAGATTACTTCAAATCAGATTACTAAAGCAGAGATGCCTTTCAACAGTGGCAAATTTCCTTATGTATTTAGCTTTAAGTCTTACACTGAATTTTGTACAAGGACATATATGTGGCTTTTATAAAGTCATATAAACAGGACTATATCTTCCGTTTCAGGTACAAGCAACTGAGTTCCAGAGTTTATTACTGTATCACATTGAATGACCAGGATTTTTCCATACATTGTTCCTTAAGAGCATACTTTAGTGAAAGGTAATACACAAAGAGATAAATACTTTCTTCATAAAATGGGGAGTAAAGGCAGTGCCTTTACTGCTGGTTTTGCTTGGTTAGTTGTGGTCTTTTTTCCATGAATTTGAACTATGCAGAGTAAGTTTATGTGCATTGGAAGTTGCTACACTCCCTTCTGCCCGTTCTGGATTTCGTAGCTGTTGCTGTTAGACTCTGCAGCCTCTTCAGATTAGGAAGCCAGTTTATGTGCCAGTTTGAAAATCTTCTACCTCACTATTGGTCAAAAATACAGAATGAAGTCTAGTCATGTAAGCTAATACATTAACCTCTGGTACCACTCAGGGTATTTTTAGGATTTACTTAATTCAAATATTTCAGCCAAATTCCCGCAGCCCAGTGTAAAGGACACCTGAAGCTCAGTGTACTTTGTGACAGTAGCTCCAGAGAACATCCAGGTTTAGTAGACCCTACGTAGAAAACAAGACAAGAGTTGTTTTCTTTGGATTCTATTTTTGCAGTGCAGTGTAGATACTGTTCTTGAATTTTTCTGTGAAATTTGTTTCTCTAGACCATGAATTAGTTTTGGTTAGATAATTTTAAGTACTTTTCAAAATTAATTGATACCATGAAGAATAGTTACTGTTAATCACAGTTAGAATTTTAGAGTTTCTGTGAGTTTTTGTCATGACTAGGAAGTTGTTGGGTTTCTTTCTTTGGGATATTTCCATATTAATATAAATTTCGCATTAAGCAAGGCAAGCTGTGAATTACAGGAGAGGATAGGAGTTGGGCTAATGCTCCAGAATTGGATTGCTTGTTAAAAATCACTCTGTTAAGTACTTGTGAAGAAAAAGTGAGTTATTATGTTTACATGTTAGGAGATATGTGAAGAGAATGCAACATAGGTGATTGTAAGATGTAGACAAAGAAGGCAGTCATTTCCATTAGCAGTAGGAGTCTCCCCCAGTCCTGTGACTCTCATACAGTACGACTCTTGTAATGCATTTACTCCTGGGAAACAGGAGTGTGAGAGTCAATGTTTTCTGACCCAAGCTCTGCCTTAAATTTTTCTGCTCTTGTGGATTTTTTCATTTGCTTGCAGGTTTACTTTGCTTGAGGAAAATATGTGAAGAGATTTACAAAATAAATACTAGCTGATCATTTTTCAAAATAAAAAATGAAGTGCTTTTCAGTGAATGGCTATCCTCATTCCAAGTGAAGTCTGCAATGATTAAATATTAAAATGATCCATGGTTTAAATTAATATAAAAAAATTCAGGAGATTATTACAAAGATTAACATTTTTAATGTTTTAATATTCCCATAGTTGATCAATCATAGGCACAGTGAACTGCTTTTTGTTAACTAACCTGATGATCCTAGATATCAGTGCAGTATTATGTAAAACATAAACCTTGTGGCATGGTTGGTAGAGGAGATGAAGAAACAGTGTCTAACTCTTTAATTATCAGGTTTATTATTGAAGTATTTTTTGACACACAAAGTAAGCAGGTAACAATTTCTTTTCCTTTTGAAAAGAAAACAGGAAAGAAAGGTAGTTCTAGAAAAATGTGTTTGCTGTAGAGTAAGCAGCTGTTGTTGCTGTAATGACAAACATAGATGGTCACTGGCGTGGCTGTGGAAGAACAATGTCTGTTTGCAGTGTGTGTTCTTGCATTTGTGTTTTCAAATAGAACTTGCATTAATGCAGCTTTAATATTGCAGAATTATCTGCAACAGCCTATGATTCCTGATACATTTTTATTCTTTAGAATTTTGTTTGAAGGTCATGGGAAAATGTCATGGAATCCCAGGTGCTTTTATATCACTAGCTGTGCACAGACACCCCTGTAATCAGTGAGTTGAGTAAATACTTGAGGCATTCCTGACAGGGACAGTGCTAATTCCTTTGTTTCTCATTTTTTTGCGTTTTTTTAGCCACAGGGCAAAAGTCATCATTAGTGATTTTTTTAAGTTTGATTCTGGCTTTCTAAACACACACTGCAGTGATACAGTGGAACTTTGCACAATGCAGTTTATTGTGTCCCGAGATTTTTTGCAGTTTTAAATATAATACATGCATCATCAAAATATTGTTCATTCATACGTTGTGATTGTTCTTGTCATCATCCTTCACTGAGTGTGATTTACAATCAAAAAAGAGGCAGAATTGGGAAGAAAGGCTGATGAATTAGCCAATGTAAACCCAGAAGGGTTTGTAAAGAAGGATTGGAGATAAGAAAGGAAGGCTGCAGTAGAAATCCAGGGCTAGACGTTGACCTGGTAAAATGAATAAATAAGGAAAGATCTTCTGACAGCAGACACTTATGGTGGAGAAGTCATGGGCAGAAAGGACAAATTTGAGAGGGGAAAAGAGCAAATGATGGCAGTAAGTTAGTGTTGGGAATGATAGTTGGAAAGTTAAAATCCAGAGGGCAAGCTGAAGCACACAATTTTCTACAGAAATTTGTTGTCACTTTTTAATGCTGTTATTTCTAGTTTTAGGTAAGACAACAAATTAAAAATGAGGTTGCATTGTCTGCAGTTTTTTGCCTCTAGCCAGAAAGCTAAATTAATTCTCATGTATTTCTGTTAAAATAAAATAAATAGTGAAACAAAATAATAACCTTTTATGTCATGAGCTGTTTTTTATATTGGGGAAACAGATTGGCTTGCAAGTGTAGTAGGTTCCGAAGTCTCAGTTGTTTTCTCCCTGGCTGTGGTGTGTGGTGTTAATGAAGAAAAGGTTACGTTTACCCATGATAATTCCCTCTCACATTTACATTATCAATCAGCCTGTGTAGCTTTTTGTGCTTTTATCTATTGTGTTTTCATTGTAATCTTTACGTATGAAGTTCTCAATTCTACAAACTCTTATGCTGAAATTTATTCACAAATGGCTCTGACAGATGTACTCTAGAAGACTTAAATGCTGTAGTTAAAGATGGTGCCAGCTGGTCGCTTCTCCCCACCCCTGAGATTGCAGTCTGTATGGAGGAGCAATACCTGCACCTCAGTTCACTTCCCTCACCTGAGCTCACATTCCTTTTAGGGGGCTGTGTGCTGATGTGGAGGCTGGGAATCAGATCCTGAGACCTGGGCACAGAACATATCCCCTTTTGTTGTCCTTCCATACAGCCTCCTAAACTGTGGCAGGAGATTAAGCGCCTGGGTCAGCAACATCTTAAAGCCTCTCAGATACCCAGGGCTTGCTGAAGAGACTCCTCTGTGGTTTTGAGTTGAGTATGTTTAAAACTCTTTTTTTTTAAATTACCTATATTTTCAATTTGTCATTGTATCAAGTGAGTGTGGAGGATATTTCCAAGCTTGGCTTTACCATATCACCACCTCTGCTTAAACTCTGACTTTTGTCTGCTTTTAGAAGTGATCATGCCTAAAAGCTTATATTAAACACCATAGATCTCTCATGTAACATATATGCTATAGAAATTGTTTAGTAGGTAGTGTGGTGCTCTCATTGTGTGAGGAGCTGGTTACACTGCCTCCAATTAAGATTGCATCACTTACTTTGCTGCTAGACCAGTTTTGTATTACTTAGACTCTTGCCAAAAGGAAATTGTTAACCTGAAGCAGTGGATTACTTGCTTTGTTTTTGTGTCTTGGCTGTCAAAGTGAAAGCACACTATTTATATAGCTAACATTTGGTTAGGTCCTTGATTTATTGTTACGCAACTAAAATTAATTCTAAAATTCAAACTGTACAGTAACAATAAAATGGATAAAGAGCTGCTGAGCTGCCAGCACTCAGAAGTAATGGCTGGGAGGCCACTGGCAATGGTTGAGAGCCTGTGGGGACTTGTCCCAGCATTCGCATCAGGTGTGATGTGCATGTTGTTTTGGTCAGTTGTCTGTGTGTAAACATACAAGCATAGTGGCAAAGGATGAATAGTTCAGTGATTGCTGGATTGATGAAGAAAGGATGAAGTTTAGAGCACGGCTGAGATCATGTTAACATGAGTCTGTTAGAATGTAGTTCATGTGCATGTGCCTAGGAGCAAGGAATGCTGGATGTGCATGCAGAATGGAAAATTCTTATCTTCTAGAGGTGTGGCTGAGGAAAGACTGAGGTTTGTGAAGAAGGTCCTGTAGACAAAGGGGATTCAAGTGCAGGGCAGTGTCAAGAACGTGCTGCCTAAAAGAGGTAGAAGCATAATTTGAATAATAAGACCAGTGTGGGAATGTTGCATCTAGTTTTATTTTGATGGAAAACATGCCCTGAAAAATTTGAAAGCATGATGAAGGTCTTGAACAGACTTAGTTCTGTTCGTAGAACTGCCCTTGGGAGGTGGGTTTGAGACTGGGTGCACGCTTGCCATGGTGTTTCTGACCACACATCTGCCTTACCTTGGCCAGCTCTGTTAGCTCTCCCTCCCACCTGGTTGCTCCAGAGGCCCTCCTGCATACCTACTGTTTAGTGTCCCAGGCAAGGCTATGCTGAATCTGTTTGAATTTGTCATTTCTTCCCTTTGCAGAGGACATGAAAAGCATTGTTTCTGTTTTGTTGTATATATATATATGCAGCATGAAAAGCTTTAAAGAATATGTTTTTTCAACAAATTTGAGTATTAGTTTAATGGTGCTGCTAAGAATTGCAGCAGCTAATAGTTTACTGGGGGTTTTTTTTGTTCTGAAATCATGAAATGGTAAAAGCAAGGGTGGATGGTGCTTTCCTTGGAATTTTTTACATGCTATTTAATTTATGAATGAATCTTCCTGTAATTTGGAATGAAAAGGTTAATAAAGCATTGTTAGATTGATGCTTACTTTTTATTATGAAAGATAGGATAATTTGAAAGCCTAGGTTATTTTGGTGTCTTTATCTGTATACAAAGCTAGAGACCAGAAGGCTAAACAGGAAGAGTGTTCTGGAAAAAATATTATAGAGACAAAACCTATTGAAAAAAAAAACTTGAAACTATTTTCGTTTTAAGTACACCAGTGGGGTTAAATAATACTAATAACTTCTGTTAGAGTAACAGATCATAATAATTTAAAACTAAAGTTCCTGGCACACTTGCTAATATCTTTTATGGCTTCATTAAAATACATCTGAAATAATTTACAGAGCAAGGCTTCTGGGTGAATTCTTACAGTTCTGCATGGGAAGAGTGCTTGTTTATCTTCATGCATGTTTATATAGACCCGTGGAAATTATGATGTAAATGTGGATGCTGTACTAAAACATAGCCATATATGCAGAGTAAGGAATTCAAAGCATTTGTATTCTGTCATTTATTGCACACAAGTAATGTATATTGTATAAGCTTGGTTCAATTCTGTATCCTGACCATAGAAGGGCACTATAGAATATGTACTGTACCTTGAGGGGGCCTTGAAGGGGAGGGAATAATGTATGTAGGGAAAAGCCCAGGGTGATGACTCTCTTACAAACTTGTCTCTTTCCTGGTTTTGAGCCTTCACATTTACACACATTGCTGGAAGTAGTGAAGAGCTGGAAGGGTGTTTCCCTTGTACTATACTATTACACATTTTATTTACTTACCTTATTAAAATAAATCTATAGGTCAGTATGGAAACAACTGACACAGCTGCAAAGCTGAGTGCATGGGATAAAGTCTTCTGAAAGGTAAAAGAGGAGGCAATTTAGCTTCATTTTCAAAGTTGACCCAGCTCTCCTTAAACTTTTATAGCTACTTACAGAGCTGTACTGCTGTTGATACAGTAATGGCCAGACTGGGCAATTGTAGCAAGAAGGGAGCAGACCTGCAGTTTCTTGTGATGTTGGTGTGTTCTTAAGAAAACCAATCTGAACTCATTTAACTGTATGCTCTAGAAGGCTTTTCATTGTTGTATGTCATTTACAGGGCTAGATTTCAGGCAGTGCAATCACCTTCTCGTAATAAAACTTTATGGCAGAAGCACACATCCTGCTTTGACTCTAACCGAGGGCATGTGCAAACCCCTCGTCCTGTCACCCAAGGACTCCCTAGTGCTTAGAGAGATGCACTCAGGAAATTTGAGCAAATGGAGTGGATTGTCATCTGCCGTTTTATCTCAGGCTAGATTCCGTAAGAAATCCTCACAAACTGCTTTTCAAATGATGTCTTTTAGCAGTCTCAAAACTCTCTTGTTTGTAACTAGTTTGATGTATGGGAATCTCTCATCAGAGGTATCTTTTAGGCCAGAAAAGGCCAACCTTTAATGCATTAGAATTCAGGATCTTAAAAAATGAGCCATCTTCTAAAGCAGCCACCCATAAAAAAGCGTTAATTTTGTATTTTACTACTAGTTTTATGGTAAATAAAATTTCATTCATGCTGAATGACTCAAAACAAAAGGAATATTTTTTAAATGTTTCTGTCTCAGTGTCATCTTTTCTTTTGGCATTCTTCTGGACAATGAACCCTGAAGTGAAATCTCTTCCTTATGACACACACCTGCATGCTGTTCCGGAGCAGAGGGAAGAGATGGGGCTGTAGTCTCCTCCCACCCTGTTCCCATTAGTGGGAAGAGCCATGAAAAGAGCCCAAACAGGCATTTGCACAAATGGTTTCATCCAAGATCTTCAGCTGTTCACATGACTTTCTATTTCAACTGATAGTTTTCTGCTGGTTGATGGGTTTTCATTTTGCTGCCTTTCTTCCCAACTGCACTCCACAAATTTCTCTGCCTTAAAATGAGGCAAGGAAACAGTTTACCAGGTTTTCTGATGATTATCAAAGCTTATTTTTTCATTTGGTGCATATAAAGTTTTTAGCCTGATTTTGATCCATTCATTTAATTCAATCTTTGTTCAAGGTTCAGATTGTAGATAGATATCAATGATCTTACACTCCCATTTTTGCCCAAATACAACATAAAGCTCCCAAAGAGATGGTATCATGTAAGCTATTACTTTATTCTTTATCTTAAAAATCATTGCCTTTAATGGGATCTCTAGGTAGTTTTCAGGAGAGCCAAGTCTTGAGCAATTTAGATAAAATCTGCAGAGAGTGTGCTTGGGCTATTGTTTTCAAGAACTTGGGAAACTACTGAGCTGATGTTATTTAAGCCATATTAAACTTCTCACCCACTTATGGCCTAATCCTTCAACACCAAGTAGGACTTGGTTTTTCGAAAATGCTGCTGTTAACATCTGTGGGTCTGTGTTCACTAAGGCTGACTATTAAGCTCATTATTGAGTGGTGTTGGGCTGAACTTTACATTTTTTTCTGTTAATACTTAAGTTGGCTACTGGTTATTTACTGGTTTTTGTCTCAATTTAAAAGAAAGAAAGTACAAAAAAGATACATTGTGTTAAGGCTGATGAAATGCCTGCCAGCTTTGTGTTCTGATCTTTCTGGGGAAGATCTGCATCTGGATGCAGTTCTATGCCATGTGTTGCAGGAAGACCCTCCTCAGTCAGGGATGTTGGACCAGGTGACCCACTGTGGTCTCTTCTAACCTGACTGAGTCTGTGATTGCTCTGTCTTTAATGAGCTGTTGAGTAATGGAGGAAAACATAAGTACAAAACCCACCAAATTAAAACTCCTTATACTTCATTTTTCTTTTGCCTGGTGACTAGACTAGATGTTGTTTGTTTTTTTATTTTTAAAGCTGAATTGCTTTCCTGAATGCTTAATACAGCATGTGAAACAAAAAAAAAAACGCCACAAAACTATTTTTCTTCATTCAGAGATCAGCCTTTTTAATACTTATTGAGCTGCAGAAGCTTCAGAGAAAGGAAAAAAATGTGCATTTGTTTTGAATGCTGGATGGAGAGATTACCTGAAGTGGTGAGCTTCAATGGGCTCTTCTGAGAGCGAGCAGGGCTTTCGGGGCCCGGAGCATGCTTGCCACCATGGCTGATGGAAGTGGTGAAGGATAGGTCTTTCTTTAGAGATCTGAAAGCTTCTTATTCCTTCAAAGGGAGTCCAGGGACAAAGACAAACGTGGACTGATGGCACAGGGTTTTATATGGGGGAAAGGGGTTGATCTGAGCGTCAAGGACCAGTGGGAACAGGTGAATGGGGTGGGGGATGGGGGGCAGCCAACCAGGGGAACCACTAGGGAAACAGGGGTGGGACCCTGCAGCAAACTGGGGCCAGTTCTCACAGATATGAGAATGGGGGTTGAACTGGGGTGGAACAGCTGCACAAACCAATAGAACTTGAGACGTTACCATGTCCCTGCAGAGGCCTATGGGAGGGAGGTGCTTCTGACCCTAATCTTAGAGGGGAGTTTCTCATTGCCTGCTTCAGCCTCTCCAGGGCTGA